GGAATAAACCTACCAAAGAGATGAAAGACCTGTATGTACTCAGAAAACTATAAAACACTGATGAAAGAAATGAAGATGACACAAAGAAATGGAAAGATGTTCTATGTTCATGGATTGGAAGAACAAATATTGTTAAAATGTCAATACTACCCAAAGCAATCTACACACTTAATACAATCCATATCAAAATACCAACAGCATTTTTCACAGAACTAGAACAAAGAATATTAAAATTTGTATAGAACCACAAAATATCCCAATAGTCAAAGCAATCTTGAAAAGCAAAGCTGGAGGCATCCCAAATCTGTACTTCAAGTTATATTACAAAGCTGTAGTAATCAAGACAGTATGGTACTGGCACAAAACAAGACACATAGATCAATGGAACAGAATAGAAAACCCAGAAATGAACTGGCAGTTATATGGTTAATTAATCTTTGACAAAGCAGGAAAGAATATCCAATAGGAAAAAGACTGTCTTTTCAACAAATGGTGTTAGGAAAACTGCACAGCAACATACAAAAGAATGAAATTGGACTTTCTTACACTAAACACAAAAATAAATTCAAAATGGATTAAAGACCTAAATGTGAGACCTCAAACCATACAAATCCTAGAAGAGAATAGAGGCAATAAATTCTTTGACATCAGCCATAGCAACTTCTTTCTAGGTATATCTCCTGAGGCAAGGGAAACAAAAGCAATAATAAACTATTGGGACTACATCAAAATTAAAAGGTCTGCACAATCAACAAAACTAGAGGGCAACCTACAGAATGGGAGAAGATATTTGGAAATGATATTTGATGAAGGGTTAATATCCAAAATATAAAGAAACTATACAACTCAACACCCCAAACCAAACAATCCAAGTTACAAAAAATGGGCAGAAGACATGAATAGACATTTTTCCAAAGAAAACAGACAGATGGCCAACAGACACATGAAACAATGTTCGGCATCACTTATCATCAGGGAAATGGCAAATCAAAACTACAATAAGATATCACCTCACACCCGTCAGAATGGCTAAAATCAACAACACAAGAAACAACAGATATTAGCAAGGATGTGGAGAAAGGAGAATGCTCTTGCACTGTTGGTGGGAATACAAACTGGTGCAGCCACTCTGGAAAACAGTATGAAGGTCTTCAAAAAGTTAAAAAATAGAACTACCATACAATCCAGAAATTGCACTAGTAGGTATTTACCCAAAGAATACAAAAATACTTCAAAGCATCCACAAAGGAACATATGCACAACCAGCAAGGTTTAAAGCAGCACCATTCACAATTCAAATTATGGAAACGTTCATGTGTCCACTGGGAGACTGATGAGTGGATAAAGAAAAAGTGGGGTGTGTGTGTGTGTGTGTGTGTGTGTGTGTGTGTGTGTGTGATGGAATATTACTCAGCCATAAAAAAGGAATGAAATCTTACCATTTGCAGTGACTTGGGATGGAGTTAAAGAGTATAATACTAAACAAAATTAAGTCAGATAAAGACAAATACCATATGATTTCACTCATATGTGAAATTTAAGAAACAAACAAAGAGGAAAAAAAGAGCAAACCAAGAAACAGACTCTTAACTATAGAGAGCAAACTGATGGTCACCAGATGGGTGAAATAGGTGATGGGGATTAAAAAGTGTGCTTGTGACGAGCACCAGGTGATGTATGGAAGTGTTGAATCATCATATTGTACACCTAAAACTAATGTAACACTGTATGTTAACCAACTGGAATTAAAATAAAACCTTAGAAAAATAAAATGAAAGATTGAAAGTATGTGTGTTGGCATGTATGTATATGTATGTCTTCATACATCATGCACATACACATGCAGATCATTATTTGTTGAGTACTTTCTATGATGCATGAATCCAGGCAGAAGAAATAAAAGCAGCTTGACTATGATGGATAAGAAAAGTGTGTTATGGGTAAGGGCCTGGTTTCCTGGGACTCAGAGTTTTTGAAGAAAGTGGACACCAATTCCCAAGCCAAGCTGATGGAGTCTGATGGGGTATACAGGTGCAGCCAGTAGGAGGGTTCACAGAAGTAGGGAATAAAGGGCAGGGCCCTGAGAAGAAATGACCAGCATGTTCCCATGTCACCTTGGACCTGGAAACTATTATTCCTTGTTCAACTCAAATGTCACCTCCAAGCCTTTCCTTTCCTAGATATAGGAAAACTTGGATTCAAATGCAATAAAGCAGATAATTTTAAAAGCAATCATTAACCCTAGAATTACAAAGAAGTTGCATGATAACCCTAGAATTACAAAGAAGTTGCATGAAGAAAGGTAATCATAGAGCATCACTTGGCTTAGCTGTGTACAGTATTTACATAGTCACAAAAAGGAAAACACAGAATATTAATTTTGAAGAAAAAGAAAAAAAGAAAGAGATAATTACCTATGGAGGATGAAGTAGAGGAAGTAGAGTGTTAAGTGAACTACAAGTCTTATCTACCATAACAGGAAAACAGTACCTAATGTCTAAAATTGATAAATCGGGCGCCTGGGTGGCGCAGTCGGTTAAGCGTCCGACTTCAGCCAGGTCACGATCTCGCGGTCCGTGAGTTCGAGCCCCGCGTCGGGCTCTGGGCTGATGGCTCAGAGCCTGGAACCTGTTTCCGATTCTGTGTCTCCCTCTCTCTCTGCCCCTCCCCCGTTCATGCTCTGTCTCTCTCTGTCCCAAAAATAAATAAAAAAAAAGTTGAAAAAAAATTTTAAATTGATAAATCAAAAGGTATTATTTAAAAATACAGAGAGAAGAAATAGTTAAGAGATGACAGTATGATCAGAAGAGTGGAGAAATGACAAGAACTACATTTTGTATAAAATTTGCTATGTTTGGGCTTATATTTACATATAATATCATGGCATTTTTTAAATGTTTTTTTTAAGAAGTCTTTCCTGGGGCACCTGGGTGGCTTAGTCAGTTAAGCGTCCGACTTCATCTTGGCTCATGATTTTGCAGTCTGTGAGTTCAAGCCCCACATCAGGCTCTGTGCTGACAGCTCAGAGCCTGGAGGCTGCTTCAGATTCTGTGTTTCCCCCTATCTCTGCCCTTTCCCCACTCATGCGCTCTCTCTCTCTCTCTCTCTCTCTCTCTCTCAAAAATAAACATTTAAAATATTTTAAAACGAAGCCTTGCCTGAGCCTTCCCATCCTCCCACATTGAGCCCCCTCTGCAATAACGGTTCATACCAGATGCCACATGTCTGCCTCCCTTCCCAGACTGGAAGGACTCTCTTATTCATTTCTGTATGTCAGAGTCACACCCAGTGACTTCTCTTAGCACCTGTGCTTAGCACCTGTGAGGAGGAATGGATGAATACAGTTACTGTTGGGACAGACTAGCTGAATGATTGCAATTGGTACATAATCTAAGTCTTTTAAGAATAGGAACCACATAACAACAATGGTGATGTTAATAATGTTAATAATTATTATTGGATAGCTGGAAACCCCAGTAGCACCATCCCCTATAACCTGGATTTTACCAAACCCTGATGTTTCATTTATTCCATGGCATGCCTACTGGACTTGTCCCTTATATCCCACCCCCAATACTAGCCCTCTACAAGACCCTCCTCATGTCATGCTTAAGTGACTGACTGACTGACTGACTGACTGACTGACTAGTCTTCCTGTGCGTCAGTCTGTCTCCACTCTACCTCAGCCTTCCTCCCACCCCCAAATATTCCTGCATCAGGGATACTCTAGAATTCCCAGTACTCCATTCTTGTCACATTCTCCTTCAAGAGCTGCAATGACACCTTACCCTCTGGAGTCCAAGGTTCTCCTGATCTTTCTGCCCCTCCAGAACCTGGCTTGCTGGCCCATCCAACATTACCTCCCACACCTCCCCGGAGCTCACCACCTGCAGGTCAAGCGAGTCTCATTACCACATCACAGTCAGCCCTCCTTCCCACCTCTTATTCCACCAGACTTCTTTTCACCCAAAAAACAAGAGCATCCCCATTGCCTGGGAATATAATTCTACTCTTGAGATACCTATGATTAATCTTCCTGTATTTAATCAGTAACTTGCTGCAATCTGTCTTACTTTTCTCCTGTGGAAAAACCTCAGGTTTTCCTTCATAATAAAATCGACATTCCTGAATAGAATATGCCTTTATAAATAGCATCGTTATCTCTTTTATAAATAAATATAACTTTCAATTTTGACAGATTAATAAGATGAACCTTATGTAAACTGATATTTTAAAAGAAGTACAGACAACTTTAAATACTACTGTGCTTTTAATTTCAAAAATTCTTTTTCCTGTTGTCCTGCAATCTTCAATATGTCTTAATTTCTCACTAAATGATTATTTTCTCCTTTTCTTTAACTCAGTCAGACCATTTAGAGAATTCATTTGATGATGTATTGAGGAGTCTAATTGTTTAATGGGCAGAAATTAGTCCCTGCAAAGAGTACTTTAAAAACTGGCAAATACCAGGCATAATTACAAATTCTTTAGAAGAATCTATTTCTGTACAATAGGTTAATTGGTTATAAGTAGACAGCACCGGCCACAATTTAAACCCGGCTTCCAATTTCATCCATGATTTTTTTTAACAAATATAAGTGGCTAATTATGATCAAATTAGTCCCCTTGAAGGAACAATTGGCTACTTATCCCTGATTTTCAAGATTTAAGTGGTCTAACGCACCTGCAATTAGCTTCCCACTAGCATACTGCCTACAGATACAGAGTTATTTCCCAAAGTTGTCAAAATCTTGCCTTGTAATGAGAACTCTACAGTCAGATGACCAATGTATAGTTTAGATTACGATGACTTCTTTGGAAGAATCAATGCAATTTTTAAGAAAACTGAAGCCAAAATAGAGATTTGCTTAAGGGGGAAAGTTGTTTTGGGGCAAGTTGATCCAGATAATTGCCTCCACTCTCTGGACTACCCACATATAGATGGCTTGTTCACCTATGTGATTATTGAAAAGTACTTACCCTTCTTTCCTTTATTTTAGTGGTGCAATCTATGTATAGACTTGGTAGCATTTACCAGTGAAATATTCAAGGGAGCAGTTTTCCAGTCATTGGATGGAATTATTGTCTCTGCTAACTGTAAGCTACGGAAGATCTTTACTTTAAAATGCAAGCCTCAAGACACTGTTGATAAAGACGGTATGTTCAAATTGCTACCAAGATTTTTAAATTCTCCAATGTGTTTTTAAAAATTAGACACACCTGGGGCGCCTGGGTGGCGCAGTCGGTTAAGCGTCCGACTTCAGCCAGGTCACGATCTCACGGTCCGTGAGTTCGAGCCCCGCGTCGGGCTCTGGGCTGATGGCTCAGTGCCTGGAGCCTGTTTCAGATTCTGTGTCTCCCTCTCTCTCTGCCCCTCCCCCGTTCATGCTCTGTCTCTCTCTGTCCCAAAAATAAATAAACGTTGAAAAAAATAAATAAATAAAAATAAAAATAAAAATAAAAATTAGACACACCTTTGGATAGTATGAGTACATGGAAATGGTTTTTCATGTTATTGTGGAATAAACACTTAACATGAGATCTGTCCTCTTCACAAACTTTTAGGTGTATAACATGTTATTGTTGACTACAGGTGCAATGCTGTATAGCAGATCTCTAGAGCGTTTTCATCTTGACCAAAACCCATCGATTAGTAACTCCCATTTCCCCCCTCCTCAACTGCTGGTAACCACCATTCTACTCTGATTCCATGAATTTAATTATTTTAGTTGCCTTATATAAGTAAAATCATACAGTATTTGTCTCTCTATAGTTGGCTTATTTCGCTTAGCCTAAGACCTCATGATTCATCCATGTTGTAGCATATGTCATTCTTTACTCTGAATCACGTGTTTAAATATAGCTGAATGTCACAAAGATATCTTTTTTATTTTTGTGGTTATTTTTCTTGTTTGTTTATGATAGCACTTACCATGCGAATCCGTCGAGGTTCTTAGTTGCAAGCGATGGAGTCCTGTCTAGGTAGTTGAAACAGAAAAAAGAATTTATTTAAGGAAATTAGCCAGTTCATAGAACCTCAAGGATGTCCAGAAAATCAGGCTTAGAGGCTACAGCCAAAAACAAACGCAGCTCCCACCACAGGACTGCTCCAAGGAAGACCCCCAATAGCTACTGCAACTGGGCAAAGACTCTGTAGGTCTGACTGTACTGTCTGACTTGTAGAGGCTAGGTCACATGCTGCAAGGGAGGCTAACAAAGCAAATGTCTGATTTCCAACTAAGGAGATAGGACTCATTGATGTAGTAAAATCACCAAATTAACAAGGGTGTTCAAAAGATGTCAACATTCAAAAAGCTCTGCTATTGTCCAACATATACTATCTCATTATTCTGTGGTTATTTCATGAACTCATTTGGGAGAAATTACATTTATATATTAATTTTCCAATAATCATGTTAAAATAGAAAGATGATTGAGTTATTCCTCATATTATTTGTAGAAAGATTGGAAATATACACATTGATTATTCATTATATGATTAATAAATATATTCTGCAGATAACTGAACTGTCCAGAATTTATAAGATGGCACAAACTCTCCTAAGATAGTCTTAAACAACTGAAAGTATTGAGAGAATACTGATGCTTCCTTTTGATTTTTGTCTGGGGTTATTTTTAACAAAATCAATTTTTCTAGAAGCCCAGGAAACAGAGCAGCACATAAGATGGCAAAGGTGATTTCTTAGAAGTTTGTATAAAGTAGACTTTAGACTTGTGCTCTGTCTGGATGAGTGTCTGAGAAATCCTTGTGTGGTTCACTCTGTGGAACAAGAAACTGTGCCTATAAATTTCATTTGATAACAAAACACAGCAGTGCATTAACAGCTCCCAGAGAGATTACAAGGCAGGAAGTCCAGCCACTCATCTTATGTACCATTTAAAGGCTATACAAGAGGGGCACCTGGGTGGCTCAGTCAGTTAAGCATCCAACTTCGGCTCAGGTCATGATCTCATGGTTCATGAGTTTGAGCCCCGCATCAGGCTCTGTGCTGACAGCTCAGAGCCTGAAGCCTGCTTCAGAATCTGTGACCTCCTCTCTCTCTGTCTCCTCCCCAGCTCATGCTGTCTCTCAAAAAATAAACGTTAAAAATTTTTTTTTAAAAAAGGCTATACAAGAAAGCAAAAGACTTCATTTTTAAAAAAATAGCACCCAGCTAATAAGAAACCTCAAAATTTATAGAAATGTATGTGCATTCTACATCAGATCATAGGAGGTAAATCATAACCTGATTAATATTTTTAAATAAATGTAAGGAAAAGAGTAAATCAAAATATGGCATATTAAATACATGTTTTTATCTCTGATCCTTCCTCAAACCCCACTAAAATTATAGGACTAAAAATGGCAATAAACCCACCAGGATGAAAATTATGAAAGAGTAGCTAACAACAGACAAAGTGTGTTCATAAATTTTGTAAGATTGAGGAATGACAACTGACTTAGAAGAGCAGAGGAAGCTGAAACTAGTGGGTTTACAGAGAGATTCACCAATGAGATTCATAATGTAGAAGCTCAGAGGGGCTCAAGAATTGGCAGCCCCCTGCCAAAGGCAGGAAATAAAAGAGTGTGGCTAAAAGCAAGGAAATTGGCTAAAATTCCATATGGACTGCTAACGGATCCCAGATTCCCTTTCTAACTCCAAGTAAGCAAACAATAGGATATTTCTTCTCTGGAGAAACTGATCCAGAGAACTTTTCAACTCAGGTACATTGGATACATGTTAGATAGACACAAGAACTAACAGAAAGAAGGAAATAGATAAAGTAGGAAATAGATACATGCTTTTCTCAAAGTTAAGAAAACACTGCATCTGTAAAATAGGAGTTATTTGTTCTTGTATTTTATTGAAGTTTATTATCTTATAAGCCTTTAATATAATTTAAAAACATTTATAAATCATAAGTGTGCAGCTTTATGAATTACCACAAAGTGAACACATTTCTGTAACCATGATCCAGATCAAGAAATAGAATACTACAAACATCCTAGAATCCCTGCTCATAATCCCCTCCCAGTCATGTCCCTCTCTCTTTTGAGAGGTCACACTCTCCTGACTTCTAACAATTTAAATTAATTTTACCTATTTTTGAAGTTTATTTAAGTGGAATCATATAGTATATATTCTTTCCAAATATACATTCTTTAACATGTATTTTAATGTGTTTGTGTATAATGTGTTTGTGAGATTCACCTATATTGCTAATTTAATTACTGTACATAGTATGGCATCGTGTGAATGTACGACAATTTATTTGTCCATATTAGGCATTTTGAATAGTGCTGCTAGAATAATTCTACATTTCTCTTGGAGCTTCTAGACAGGCATTTCTTTAGATATTTGTCAAGAAGATAAATGAACACATACTTTGGCATTCTTAATATCAGTTATTATATTTTTTGTTTCTAGAATTTCCATTAGATTTTTTTTATAGTTTCCATTCCTTAGCTGAAATTCTCCATCTCATTATTTAATTTCTCAAATATATTAAGCAAAGTTATTTTAAAAGGCATGGCTCACAATTCCAATGTCTGTCTGTCCTGTGGGTCTGTTTTTGTTGTCTGTTTTTCTCTTGTTCTTGTATCCTAATATGTCTAGTAAGTTTTGAGTGTATACTGGACATTTTGACACAGAAACTATATAGCTATTTTGAGATTGTATTGTATTGTCTTTCTTCAGAGATTTAGAATAAAAAAAATTTTTTTAAGAAGCCCGAAAGACTGAAAATAAGATCCAAATGTTAAGAATATTAGAAGTTAGTCCAAGAGACCCATCAACAGAATGATAGGATTCTAAGTGAGAGACTAGAGGAAACAGGAGGGATGATATATAGGAAGATTTCCCAAAATTAAAGGTCAGGTGTTTTCAGATTGACATAGCTCATCAAAAACAGAAAAAGAAAAAAAAGAAGAAAAGAGTCACCATTGTGTAATTTCAGAATAGGAGGGAAAAAAAGAAAAGATTATTAAAGCTTCCAGAATTTTTTTTAAATTGAAGTTGCATACAAAGGAGTAGGAATAAGAATAATGTCTGACTTCATACAACAACATTAGATGGTAGAAGACCTTGAAACCATACCTTCAAAATATAAGGAAAAATTACTTTCAACTTAGAATTTTACACCCATCTGGTCTAACAATTAATTGAGTGCAAAATAAAGGTGTTTGCTGACATGCAAGGTCTCAAAAATTTATATTTATTTAAATCCTTTGTCAGAAAAGATCTGGAAGATATTCTCCATAAAATATAAGGAGTAGATCAAGAAAAAGGAGCATGTGGGATCCAAGAAACAAGATTTCAGAGAAAAGCAAAGAGAATTTTCAGAATTGTGGTTAAAGGAATTCAAAGGATGACATTTGTTCAGCACATCTAGACAACAGTCCAGATTTCAGCAGGAAAATGGAGGCTTTCAAGAAGAAAGTCTCTAGGAAAAGAATATATCTGATACAATATGATGTGTTTGAACATGGAAAGTAAAGTTGATTTGATTTTATAGTGCTAATAGGGAGTTTGGGAAGAATTAATGTGGGGTGTGTACAAAAATCTATCACAAAATAAAACAGTGATCAACCCTAAGGAAAACAAAAAGCTGTACAAGAAAAGAAACGTAATCATAGCATATTACATGGCTTAAATGTGTACAGCTTTTTAAAAAAAACATTTTATTTTTAAGGGCAGTTTTAGGTTCACAGCAAAATTGAATGCAAATTGCAAAGAATTTCTATGTCCTCGTTACCCCCGCATATGCACAGTCTCCACAGCTATAGCCACTCATACCAGAGTGGTACATTTGCCAAAATTAATGAACTACATAAACACTTTATCATCACCCAAAGTCCATAGTTTACATTAGCATTCCCTCTTAGTGGTGTATACTCAGTGGGTTTTGACAAATGAATAATAACATGTATCTAACAATATACTATCATACAGAATAGTTTCACTGCCCTTGTCTTCTAGGTTCTACCCATTCATTCCTCCCTCCCTATTAATTCCTGGCAACCATTGGTCTTTTTATTGTCTTCATAGTTTTGCCTTCACCAGAATGTTACATAGTTGGAATCATGCAACATATAGCCTTTTTGGACTGATTTCTTTCACTTAGTAATATGCCTTTTAACCTCCAGGGGTGCCTCG